GCGGAGACATTATTTACAGTTGCGGACAGGATAATACCCCTAAATGCGCAGATCAAGGGACATATAAATCTGGAAAACAACTACCCACAATTTTCGAGCTCATATTCGACCGATGAACCCAAACAAAAATAAACATGTTTACTACACAAAACGTCGCCGCATATATCCCATTTGCAATACCATCCTAGGTATACTAGCAATGTCTATGCAAAATTCCAGAGCTTACTTACTTATCTGGCTTGTGACAGAACGTTTGTTCCATAAGCCGAACTTAAAAAAGTTTTCCAGGCGCATCGCTCTTATGCGCAGCTCATTAAATTTGAAATATCATGTTCCGAGATGTTGTCTTCCACTTGATCTTTCCATCGAAATCGAGGCTTTTGACTTTTGAGCTGGGGCATACTCATCCATTCTCACAACATGACCTAGCCAACGTAGCCGCTGCAGCTCAATACGTCTGACTATGTCGATGTCCGAGAATAGATGTAACAGCTCATGGTTCATTCGACGGCGATATTCACCTTTGACGCATATCTGCAAAATTCCAGAGCTTACTTACTTATCTGGCTTGTGACAGAACGTTTGTTCCATAAGCCGAGCTTAAAAAAGTTTTTAAGGCGCGTCGCTCTTGTGCGCAGCTCATTAAATATGGAATCTTTCCATCGAAATCGAGGCCTTTCCGTTCTGCGTGAACCATCAGCTGGCTCGTTTTTATGTGAGCTGGGGCATACTCATCCATTCTCACAACATGACCTAGCCAACGTAGCCGCTGCAGCTCAATACGTCTGACTATGTCGATGTGCGAGAATAGATGTAACAGCTCATGGTTCATTCGACGGCGATATTCATCGTTGACGCATATCTGCCCATAGATCTTCTGGAGATTTTTTTCAAATAAATTTTTCTCAAACAATCCAAGAGTTGTTTGATCTACTTGCCTTGAGCAAGTATCCATGCTTCAGATCCATATAATAGCACGGCTAATATCAGCGTCTTGTAGAGTGTGAGTTTGGTCTGGCGATCTGGCTTACTCAGATTATAGTAGCATCTGTTGGCCAACACTATCCTTCTCCGAATTTCAAAACTTATGTCATTAATTTTGTTAATGGCGGTACCGATGTATATAAAATCGTTTACTACCTACATTAAGACGGTGGCGTATTTTGGTTGCCACAAGGTAATGCTCCAAATCGATATTCGCTCCTCGGATCGATCGAACGCCTAAAATACTGGACGAATGCCTTCCGTCTATCACAACATGATCATTTTGATTTGTCGTTGCTTGATCAGGACAAATCCAGGTGACCTTGTGTATATCGAGATGCTTGAATCTGGTGCAGCTAACTACCATGTTGTTTTTTTGCTGCCTGGAAGTCAATCAACCTCATGCTGGTGTCGGATGTTTCTTCATGGAGGCTGAATTTTCCAACGGTGGGACCAAAAATGTTTCCCTTCAGATTTTTGCATTAAAATCTCCTAGCAGAATTTAATGTCATGGCCAGGACCGCGGTAATATGCTGTTTCTATGCGCTCATAAAATATGTTTTTGGTCTGTTTATCTTTGTATTCCGTCGGAGCATGGGCACAGATAAGACTGATGTAGAAGAACTTCGCTTTTATACGGATTATAGAAATTCGTTCATCTACTGGAGAGAATCTGGAGCCAATTTTCATGTCTCGTTTCATTGCAGCTATAATACAGGGCGTAATCGTCTGATTTACTTACGCCTATCCCTTTCCATCGCATTTCCTATATAGGCAATAATATCGGATTTGTACTTCTGAGTACATTTTCCAATGTGAAAACTGCGCCTGTTCTGTACAACGTGCGCACATTTCAAGTGCAGGTTCGCAGATTGTGGTCCTTTATACGTATGTGGAGGTAGCAAACATTAGGGGGGTGTGATTTTCTTTGTCGGGATTTTCGGGTGTTGGCAACTAACCCGACGTCTCAACCCATTTTTTATACCCTCCAACATAGTATGTACGGTATATTAATTTTGTCATTGTTTCGAAATATTCATTTCCGACCCTATAAAGTATATAAATTCTTGATCAGGGTAAAATTCTTAGACGACCTAACCATGTCCGTCCGTCTGTTGTCATCTGAAGGAATTGAGATAGATCGCCAAAATTGCATAAAGGCGTCTTTTGTCCGCAGTCGATATTTTGGGGTTCTTGAACCCGCTTTTCAATCGAATTCGCTGAAATTTGGTACATTGGGCTATTTTTGGGTATCAAATGTTTCCACTAAAAATTATAAATATAGGTCCACTTTTTCTGGTAGCCCCCAGAATTCGCAAAAATTTGATTAGTTCCGTGTCTAGGGGTTGTCCCCATACAGGCGTATTCTACCATAGTTTAGGGGATAGTCGTTACTCGAAATAGTAAGTTTTACCCTACAAATTATGGAATTCTAAGAAGATTTAACCATCGGTTGTAATCATTCCACTTTCTAAGGAAATCGTGATAAAAATTCGAACCTGACGATACTGAAATATATCGGCCAGCATTTAGGCATCTCCCCCATAGGTCCTGAACTAAAGAATTGAGACACAAAACAAAAATATTGGTTTCTAAATTGACATATGTTGGTCATTAATTAGTCATAGTCCTCATATAATTATAACCCCAAATATTCGCAAATTCCTACACTATGTAATCTAAATTGCAGAAGTTTGGGGATTGTATATTCTACCATACATTATTAGTATCAGTCCAAGCTTTAGGGTTTTCATTAAAAATTGCTGAAATTTGTAGAAATATCGGTATAGGTTCCAAGTATCTGTCAGTATACCTATGGTGGAGAGTATCCAAAATTTGGCCCGCCCGAAATTAACGCTTCTTCACTTGTCACAGTTCTTATGGGTGAACTTGTGAACTATTTCAACGGATTGATGAAAGTAGCTACCCCAGGTGACACCGCGGGTAGGTCAGTGTCCACAATTGAGATGAAAGAGGGACCAAGATAAGCCTGGGTTTTGCCATGTTAAAGCCAATCAGAACCTTGGTATATATCATCCCCAACGTCACTTAAATTTCAGAGTTCTATCTTAAATATTGCGATCTCAATAGTTGTTGGCTTGATCGATAAGCGGGAAGAACAAGGTGAACGATCCAACGAACTAGTTCAATTGAACGTATTCCAGAAGAGAGCATTTAAAACTAAATGAAAAAGCGTTAAGTTCGGCCGGGCCGAACTTTGGATACCCTCCACCATAGATATACTGGTAGGTACTTGAAATGAAAATATAGGGAACATACTCAAAAATGGACCTATACCGACATTTATACAAACCGATTATGTAAACAATAATTTTTAATAGAAAATTATACCCTCAGCCTTATGGCTAATTAGTGTGTATACACTTTCACACGCTGAAAATGTGCCTCATCGAAATATTGGTTCTAGACCCCATGTTTCTTTGGACCAAATCCGTTTCAGAAAAAAATTGATTTCATCCCATCTTATTATGTCTTCCAAACTTAGTTCAAGTCCGAATTTGAGGAATATCGGTCCATGCCCTCTGATACCTCCCACACAGGAGCTACGCCTAAGCCTAAATGCGGGCTATAGTTCACATATAGTTCATTATCGAACCGTACTTTATCTCGGTATCCTTCGCAGGTGAAATGATTACAACAGAGTGTTAGAACCAAACCCAAAACGCGGAAAAATCAGATAATTATATTAATATAAAAAATGGGGTTATATGGGGACTACGCCTAAATGGAGTTGACTATTAATAATTTTTGGTAGGGAGATTTGTTTCCATATACGGCTACAAAATACCAAGTTCAGTGATTTCGGTTGAAAAACGAAGACGAAGATCCTCCAAATGCCAAAATTTGGGGGTACCCTTATATGGGAGCTAGCAGAAAAAATGGACTTATATTTATAATTTTTAGTGGAGAAATTTGGTACCCAATAAGAACCCAATGTACCAAATTTCAGCGAATTCAGTTGAAAAACGCGCTCAAGAACCCCAAAATACCTACCAGAAAAAATGGAACTATATTCATAATTTTTGGTGGAGTGATTTGGAACCTATTAAGAATTTAAAGTACTAACTTACAGCCAATTCGGTGGAAAAATACGACCAAATCCCCCAAAATACTGAAAATTAGGAGGTACCGTTATATGGGGGCTACCAGAAAAAGTGGACCTATATTTATAATTTTTTGTGGAGACATTTAGTACCCAATAAGAACCCAATGTACCAAATTTCAGCGAATTCGGTTTAAAAACGCGTTCAAGAACCCCAAAATACCGAAAATTGGGGGGTACCCTTATATGGAAGCAATGCCTAAACGTGGACCGAAATATCCCATCCTCGAATTTGACCTGCCTGCAGACAAAAGACAACCCTATGCACAATTTCAGCACCCTATCTCAATTCCTTTGGAAGATAGCGTGATTACGACAGACTGACGGACATGCTTAGATCGTCATATAATTTTATGCTGATCAAGAATATATATACTTTATAGGGTCGGAAATGATTATTTCGATGCGTTACAAACAATACTATGGTGGAGGGTATAAAAACAGCAAGGGATGTGATAAAAATAAAATAGAATACTTCATTGACTATGAACGAATTAGGTAGTGATCTATGAACGTGTTTTGTTGGTGCCCGATTGGTCAATGAACTAAATAGTGAACTATGAATTAGATGAACTATAAGAATGGTTCTTTAAAATGAACTAAAATGTACAACACATGAATTATGATGATTTACAATTCGAAATGTTCTGAATTATATTTGCAGAATATGTAGAAGTTCATTTATCCTAGATGAAGAAGTAAAAGCAATTGGTTTCATATAATTTTTCCATTTGATTATTTTTAATATTTTATTATACACTTAATAATTACAAACTATATTTTATATAGATAAATATATATTTTTTTGGAATACATTACAATTTATTTTGTCGCATTGTTGGTCCATAACTCATGAAGGGAATTACACATTCAGCTAGTAGATCTCGATCTCGTCAATAGAAATTATTTACTTTCGGATTGTGGGAACCATGATTGGCAGGCTTCCATGGCAATTTCACACATGGCGGTCACTGCTTTGGCATTGTCATATTCTGGAGAAGAATCAACAAATTACTAATTTCAAAATGTAAAATATTTAATTGTTTTACTTACCAACTGAATTACGCTTGCCAAAAATGCTACCATTGAAGGGTGGTTTACGGTAGGCAGCCTCGCTGGGTTGCAACATGACAACGGCAACAATGAAGGCAATGACAAGGAGAGCGAAAGAGAAACGGATGGCAAACATTTTGAGATTTTCTTTGGTGCAAGAGAACACGATTTTCTTGAGTTGTTGAACGTTGCTGATGAACTGATGCCAATCTGTGGTGAACACTTAGCTTTTATAGTCAAAATTTGTCTAACAACGGCATATGAAGGATGTGGATAGGAAACTAAATATTGGAACATAAATCTCCAAGGACTAAAAGGCTAATAGAAAATTAATTGCTAATTATGGGAAATAATAATGAAAAGAGAGGGATGCTATATTGAGTTATGTTATTGGCCAACTTTGCTGGTTTATTTTCTTGCTACTAATACTCTTTGATAATATTTGCAAAGGATATACATATGTTAAAAGGATATTAAAATCAAAATCTAAATAACAAAACAATATTAAACATATTTTTGTAAAAAAATATTCTTCTAAATTGTTGTCAGTCTTTGAGAGTTTCTGCAAAAAAAAAGTCCCTCCTTCCAATTTCCATTTACGATTTCATATCCCATTCCAAAATCTTAGAGAATTCCTTTTCTCCGAATTGCAACATCTTGGCTTGTTCCAAACAAATGTTTTGCCTTTTCAAATTATCAATCAAAAATAACTGCTTTTTATAGGCATTTAGCAGATCAGCTCTCTGTTTCTTTAAATTCTTAATTTGTTTATCTTTGTCGTCCAAATCTAGACGGGCCTTCTCCTGTAATTCCTTTTCGGATTTTTTCATTTCACTCAACGAAGTTCGCGAATTTTCTAGATCTTCATTTGCCCGATAGAGTCGTTTCTCGAGGTTTTTATTATTTTGTGTTAGAATTTTAATTTCTCTCTTCGCAGTCTCCAAGTCCTTTTGCTGTTTCAGGTATTCTTTATTCTGATCCTTGTTATGTTGAGTGGTTTGTTCCAGCTGGGATTCCAATTTCGCCAATTGTTCTTTGAGGGCATTATTTTTGGTTGTAGCTTGATCACGTTGCTTTTCCATTGCCTTAGCTTGTTCTAGGGCTTTTTCGAGAAGTTCCTTTTGTTTGCTTAGCTCTTCGGATAGGCGAGAGTGATCATCTTCCAGTATGGTCACCTTGGATTTAAGGAATCTGTCAAAAAAAATTCAAAATTTTAATTTGAAGAAATATGCGAAGTACAAATATTGAATATGGGTACGATTTTGTACATTGTCCTAAATTTTGCCGGAATCGTAGAAATTTTAACCGTTTAGATACAATCGGCTTAGAATATATGTGGGAGCTATATTAAAAGCGTCGGGCGAGGTGGGACATGATAGATACCAAGCAACGGCTCTGATTTTCTTTAACATGGCAAAACCCAGGCTTATCTTGGTCCCTCTCCCATCTCAATTTTTGACACTGACTTCCCCGCGGTGTCACCTGGTGTAGCTACGTTCATCACCCGTTGAAATAGTGAGCTGATTTGTACCCACACTCGGAAAACCTTTCCTACTATGAAAAAGCAACGAAAAAGTAAACCAAAACACACCCACCCCCCAAATGTTGACGAACCCCGCAAATGTATAAAGGACCACGATCTGCACTTGGTTTTGCGTTTTCGCTTCAAGAAGTACAAACCCGACATCATTGTCTTACAGGAAATGTGATGGAAAAGGACTGGCGTAAGTAAATCAGATGATTACGCCCTGTATTATAGGTGCCATGAAACCAGACATGAGAATAAAAGACCTCGTCTCCAGATTCACTCCAGTAGATAAGTGAATTGCCAAAGACATATTTTACGATCACCTAGAAACAGCATATGACCGCTGCCCTGGTCATGACATTAAAATGCTGTTAAAAGATTTAAATGCAAAAATCGGAAGGGAAACTATTTTTGGACCTCCGTCGGAAAATTTAGCCTCCATAAAGAAATATCCGACAACGGCATGAAGTTGATTACTTCGCTGCATCAAAAAACCTGGTAGTTAGCAACACCAGATTCAAGCATCTCGATATGCACAGGGCCACCAAGCTTTCTCCCGATCAAACAACGAGAAATCAAATGGATCATGTTGTGATAGGCGGAGGGCATTCCTCCAGTGTTTTAGACATTCGATTGATACGAGGAGCGAATATCGATTCCATTACTTTGTGGCAGCCAAGGTTCGCACCCGTCTTGATGTAGCAGCAAAGGTGCGATCTAACACAACACGGAAACTCGACCTCGAAAAGCGGCAAACACAACAGAAACCAGAAGCCTACTCCGCTCAACTGATGAAAGCACTCCTTGTCCCGATAATAATATAGAAGCACAATGGCAAAGGATTGCCCGCTCCCTACAAACTGCAGCAAAAGCAACAATTTGGTACCAAAGATCACCATCAGGAGTTGAAAAACGCCTCGTATAGGTCAACCCTGCAAAGAGCACAACGCGCAATACGAGAGAGAATTATCGGGAAAAAGGAGAGTGGAGAAACGTATTTTCAAATGAAAGAAGAAAGAACAAGACAAACTTGAGCTTGAGAAAATCGAGATATACAGGAGTTAGAATGAAGTCCGGAAATTTTACCAATAAGGATTTGGTTTAGGCTCATCTTCCTGTAGAGATGAAGAAGGTAACCTGGTGACAGCTACAGGTAGCGTGTTGGAGATCTGGAAGGAACATTTGGAAAAACTTCTGGTATCAAATAGTGGCAGTGAAGAAGATACCCCAGAACCAATTAGAGATGACGGTATAGATAGTATACCAACTAGTCAAGTTGAAATCAGAGTAGCAATTAATCGGCTGAAGAATAATAAAGCAGCAGGTGCCGATGGAACCTGCCGAACTATTAAAGGCTGGTGGTCAGACGCTGGTCAGGAACATGCAACAGCTTATAAGTACAATTTGGTTAGAGAAATGCATGCCCAATGTTTAGAACCTCAGCATCCTGTGTCCCGTGCACAAAAAAGGAGACAAGACGATATGTGCCAACTATAGAGGAATAAGTCTCCTTCCCATCGCATATAAAGTGCTATATGACATTATTGGACCATACCAATGTGGCTTCAGGCCTGGAAAATCCAACATAGAATAGATTTTCACACTGCACCAAATCCTGGAAAAGACCCACGAAAAACACATCGACACATTCCAACTATTCGTCGACTATAAAGCCACATTCGTCATGCCTGCGTTCGGCATTCTTACAAAATTAGGATTACCAGTTAAAGTCGGAAAGGACCTCTCGAAGCTCTTTAATACCGAACGAGGATTCAGACAAGGTGACAGTTTGTCGTGTGACCTTTTTAACATCCTGCTGGAAAAGGTCATACGAGATGCAAATGTGAACAGAAATGACACTCTGAACACCAAACTGCATATTTTACTCACTTACGTTAGCGACAGCGACGTAATGGATCGAACATTCCGAGCGGTAACAGCTTTAAACGAATTGAAAATGAGTCTGTGTTGGCCAACAGATGCTACTATGGTCTAAGTAAGCAGTTTAGAAGCAAGGCCACCTCCCGCCAGACCAAAAATTCTCCGGAAAATCTTTGGGCCGATCTGCGTTGACAGTGAATATCGCCGTCAAAGGAACCATGAATTTCACTAGCAATTCTCGGACATAAGCATTGCCAGACGTATCGAGCTGCAGGGGCTACGTTGACTATGTCATATTGTGAGAATGGAAGAAGATGCCCCAGCTCTAAAAGCATATAAAATCTTACCAGCTGATGGTTCACGCAGAACGGGAAGGCCACGAATCAGATGGAAAGATCAAGTGGATGACAAAATTACCAATATTGGTCCTCTTTTTACGATAGCCCCTACGGAATTTCAGTTTTTTGAGGAGTGTAGACTCGTTTTTCTACCGAATTGGTGGTAATTAGGCATTTGGAATCCGCATTGGGTTTGAAATATCACTACGAAAAAATCTCAATACTGGTCCACATTTTTGTAAACTTTCTGATACCTCTCAAATTTTGGTATTTCTTTAAACGAATTGAGAATGAGTCTGTCAAAGTGGGACTGGCAGTAAATGGCGAGAAGATCAAGCTGACCACTTGAGGAACTTGAAAACTACAGCTTCGAGGTAGTGAACGATTTTATGCCCCTCGGTACCGCCATAAACAAAACTAATTACATCAGTTTTGAAATTCGGAGAAGGATAGTGTTGGCCAACAGATGCTACTATGGTCTAAGTAAGCAGTTTAGAAGCAAGGCCACCTCCCGCCAGATCAAAAATTCTCCGGAAAATCTATGGGCAGATCTGAGTTGACAGTGAATATCGCCGTGGAAGAAACCATGATTTTTACCAGCTATTCTCGGACATCAGCATTGTTAGACGTATCGAGCTGCAGCGGCTACATTGACTAGGTCATGTTGTGAGAATGGAAGATGCCCCAGCTCTAAAAGCATATAAAATCTTACCAGCTGATGGTTCACGCAGAACGTGAAGACCACGAATCAGATGGAAAGATCAAGTGGATGACAAAATTACCAATATTGGTCCTCTTTTTACGAAAGCCCCTTCGGAATTTCGTTTTTTTGAGGAGTGTGGACTTGTTTTTCGACCGAATTGGTAGTAATTAGACATTTGGAATTCGCATTGGGTTTGAAATTCCACTACGAAAAAATCTCAATATTGGTCCACATTTTTGTAAACTTTCTGGTGCCTACCAAATTTTGGTATTTCTGGGAACAGAATTGGTTGTAATTTGGTATTTTGAATTTACATTACATTCAATACGAAAAATTGGTCCACATTTAAGGATTGCCTCCATATAACCATACCTCCCGACTTTCGGTATTTTGAGGAGTAGGGGCACGATTTTAATCTCAATTGGATGTAGTTCGTGATTTCGAATTATAATTTAATAGTAAATGTTCCCTTCAAAAATTATCAATGATGGTCCATTTTTTACGATAGCTCCCTATAACTGCATCTACAGAAGAGTACAGCTCAGTGTCCGGTATTTTGTTGGATTTCCCTCAAGGGGTCAAATCTTTCTACCCAAAAATTTACAATGTTATAGACACCATATATAAAAGTCCCGAACGAATACATATATTTTAAATATCTACCTCATGGTGGAGGGTATAAAAAGTTCGGCCCCGCCGAAATTAACTACGTTTTCACTTGTTAATCAATATTCGGAACTTACTTGATTAATCCATCGGTGCTAACGTTCTTTTTCGAACCAATTGTCATATTACTAGCTTGAGAATGACGACCATTTGATATGGAATCCTCTGGTGCAACTGATGAAACGCTACCATTCAAATATGGTGAATCTTCCGAAGATGTCTGATTTCTTATTGCAGAACATTCATCCTTTAACAGCACTTCCAATGAGGGACTTTTAACAAATTTCGGATTACGATATTTGATGGTAAATGTGGAGGTATTTGTGGGTGGCGCACGACTGAAACGATTTTGATTGGGAGCACGAAAGGTTTCATTACCCCTACCGGCAGTAGAAATATTAGAGGTTGGTGGTGGATTTTTTCGCATATTAGCTGCATATGTTCTTATGGCACTGGAATTATGGGCCATTGTGGATGCAATCACGGTGGGAGGTGGTGTTGGTGTGGGTGCAGTAACTGTTATCCTTGGTGATTGATTGGGTTCATTGCCGGTTTGACGGTTACCCTGACGATAGGTATCTCTACCCATTGTCATGCTAAAACGTCCCATTGGATTTTGAGAAATTTGCTGATTGTTTCCTACATCGCTAGTTGGACCATCACCCGAACCGCGTTTCCTCAAAAAAGTACTTTGACCCTTGGCCTTTTGATAGGTATGAAAACGGGAATGATTTGATTTTTCCGAATTTATCCGCTGTTCCGTTGTATTTGGTTGCTGCTCCATGGCATTTGATGCCATAAAATTTAATTGTTCATTTAATTTTAGAAATTCTTTTTCTTTCGATAAAAGTTCAGCCATTTTAAAGAATTTTTTAAAATTTTGAGATTTTTTTCAAATCGAATTAAAATTATTTTGTAATAATTTATTTTAACACAAAATTTATTGAATACACACACAAATATTGAAATTGAATTTGAAATTAGATTTGTTCAGACTTTTGATTGACAATTTAACCCTTGGTTGTGTGACGGACGACAATTCCCCCAGTTGTTATTTGATTTAAATTCTCCAAGGAACTGAAGTTGTTGTTATTTCCGCTATAAATAGAAATCGTCAAACAGTGCGACAGGGTTGTAAGGAATTCCATGTTACCCTTGACGATTTTATCAACAGTTTATTTATTGTTTGGTATTTTACCGGGTCATAAACTGCATAGGAGGGGCGGGGGTCATATTTTATGTGAGTGCAACATAACAACGATTCTGACATTAATGCGGTTGGTGTGGTCTTATGAAAAAGATTTCACCGCGTTCTGTGACTATTTGATTTTCTGTGAATATGTTTTTTAAGAGATTCTTGGAGGTATATGTCTATCTTCGGAGCCGTAGTAATCGTAAGTGATTCAGTATGTTTATAGGAGTTCGAAAGGAGGTATTTTGTCTATTGAATACAACAAAATCCGAAAGTAAATATTCTGTACACGGTTGGCCGACTGAACAACAGAGGTTCTTATGTCTACAGAAGACCACAATATGGCGATCCATCGAAGGTCAATGATAGGTCGTCTGCTTACATCTTTCTGTCCATCTTTCTGTCCATAAATCACCGATATATGGTCTTTTATTAAGGCTGTCCTATGTTTACAGTACAGGCAGAAGACTTCAGTCAATGAGCGTTTTTGTCTGCAGAAGACCACTTGGAGGTCTTTTGTCTATAGGACACAAGATGTGCCGCGAGTTCACACATAAGAACTATCAAAAATGGGTTGAGGCGTCGGGTTAGTTACCCACACTCGAAAAAAACCAATACTATGAAAAAGCAACGAAAAAGAAAACCAAACAACAATCCCCCACCCCAATCCCGGTTGACGAACTTCGCAAACGTATAAAGGACCACGATCTGCACTTGGAATGTGCGCACGTTGTACAGAACAGGCGCAGCTTTCGCCTTGGTGGATTTACTTAAGAAGTACAAAGCCGATATTATTGCCTTACAGAAAATGCGATGGAAAGTGACCGGCGTAAGTTAATCAGATGATTACGCCCTATATTATAGCTGCCATGAAACGAGACATGAATTTGGCTGTGGATTTATGGTTAATAGGAGAATAAAAGACCTCATCTCCAGATTCACTCCAATAGATGAGCGAATTGCTATAATCCGTATAAAAGCGAAGTTCATCTACATCAGTCTTATTTACGCCCATGCTCCGACGGAAGACAAAGATGAACAGACAAAGACATTTTTTACGAGCGCCTACCAACTGCATTTGACCGCTGCCCTGGCCATGACATTAATGTTCTGCATAAATCGAAAGGGAAAATATATTTGACCCCACAGTCGGAAAATACAGAAATATCCGACAACGGCATGAGGTTTATTGGCTTCGGGGCAGCAAAAAATATGGTAGTTAGCAACACCAGATTTAAGCATATCGATATACACAAGGCCACCTGGATTTCCCTCGAACGAACAACGAGAAATCAAATCGATCACGGACGGAAGGCATTCATCCAGTGTTTTTGACGTTCAATCGATACGAGGAGCGAATATCGATTCGGACCATTACATTGTGGCAGCCAAGGTTCGCACCCGTCTTAATGTAGCAGCAAAAGTGCAATCTAATGTAGCTCGGAAACTCGACGTCGAAAAGCTGGAAACACAACAGATAGCAGAAGCCTACTCCGCGCAACTTACCCACCTGCTTGGTGAAAACACTCCTTGTCCCTATAATAATATTGGAAGCACAATGGCAAAGAATTGCCCACTCACTCTAAAATGCAGCGAAATTAACACTTGGGTATCAAGAAACCCGTTGTACGATAAGGAGTATCGTAATGCTACTGATGTGAAAAACGCAGTGTATAATATAAAACATCAAACCGCTGGTCGCTGGTCTGGAGCATATACTAGCTGATTAGTACAATTTTTCTAAAACCGCATTCGACAGCCCTATATGTTCAGAGGTTTTTAAAGCCATGTCTTCGTTCGCCATTCCTTTAAAATGAATACAGCTATGCAGCATACCTTTAATGGCCACAAGGTCAGCAGTTAAAGCCGGAAAGAATCTCTCGGAGCCGTTCAGTATCGAACGAGGATTCAGACAAGGTGACAGTTTGTCGTGTAACCTTGGTCATACGAAATGCAAATTTGGACAGAATTGACACTCAATACATCAAGCAGAATATGTTACTCGCCTATGACGATGACATCGACATAATGGGTCGAATATTGCGAGCGGTAACAGCCACCATTAAGGGGACCCCCCCATTCACGGGGTCAAAAATTTTGTTGATATAATTCGAATCTACACTAATTAAAGAATGTCCCTACAAAATTTCAAATGAAAACCTCAAGAAGTCTTGAAGATATTGCCGATTTATTGTGTCAGCATCAAGTGACGGCTGAAGGGCTTCTCAAACTTTAAACGCGTTTTTCTCCAAACATTTTTTTTTGCGAATGGCGGGCACGATAACTCAAAAACTAATAACCCAATCGACTTCAAATTTTTCACGTTTCTCTGTGAGTGTGTAGCTATCGTATGAACTAGGATAAAGCCAATCGGTGAAGATCTTCCTTATTTTTTGACTTGGGTTTTGGTAAAGAATCGGCGATTTTCCAAAAATATTTTTTCAAAGGTCCACCATTTTTTTAATTTTAGAGCGGAGTCAATAATCCTAGTTCATACAAGAGCCAGACATGTATTCTTTCTAACACCGTTGGAATTTTCGGATTCCGATGTTCCGATGTTCTTTAATTACAAAAAACAACAACAAAACAATAACAAAATTTGTTTGTAAATTATTTTTTCTCTCTTTTAAAACTTCAATTATATATGTATGTGTAAAGTTACAAACCTTAACAAGCATTGGTATTGATTTACCAGCCCATTGAAAATCTTGAAAAATTAAAATCGAGAATGGGTACTTGCGCAAGCAGATGCGGCAACTCTTGGAGTGTTTGAGAGAAAAATTATCCGAAAGATTTATGGGCCGATCTGCCTCGACGGTGAATATCGCCGTCGAATGAACCATGAGCTGTACAATCTATTCTCGGACTTCGACATGGTCAGACGTATCGAGCTGCAGCAACCACGTTAGCTAGGCCATGTTGTGAGAATGGATGAAGATGCTCCAGCTCAAAAGGTATATGAAAGCGAGCCAAGTGATGGTTCACGCAGAAAGGGAAGGGGACGAATTACATGGAAATATCAAATGAAGAAAACATTACCAAACATGGTCTTTCAAAAACTGCGCATTTTATGGTCGTCCGAAAGATCCATGGGCCGATCTGCGTCGACGGTGAATATCGCCGTCGAAAGAACAATGATCTGTACCATCTATTCTCGGACTTCGACATGGTCAGCTCAAAAGGTATATAAATGCGAGCCAAGTGATGGTGCACGCAGAAAGGGAAGGCCACGAATTAGATGGAAATATCAAATGGAAGAAAACATTGCCAAACATGGTCTTTCAAATTTGAAGAACTGCGCAAAAGACCGACGCGCCTGAAAATCTTTTTATACTCATCTTATGGAACAAATGTTCTGTCACAAGCCAGCTAAGAAGAAGATGAAGTATCGATTTCATGCAAATTGTACACCAAATACCAAGCTTTTGCTTGATTGAAACGAAATTTTAGCACTCCAAAATGATCCTAGAATGACGTGTATACACTAAATTGATTCAGATGTAGATATAGCATGTCATACCTCTAGGTGAAATTTTGGACAGCGCGCTGTGCTGCAGCATACCAAATGCACTGTGTCAAGTTTGCTGGTGTCCAGATATACATGTCTCATATATAATTTGGTTCGATTTCATACAAATGACATCACTTGTATATATAAAATTGGCGAAGGGTATCATAAAATTGAACCTGTCCAATTTGTGTACTGTTCTTAAACGGCATATACATTATAACTTCTTACCGGGTTAAGGAATTGACAATTGAAACCCACTGGGTTAACGAAATCCGCTAAAACGTACTATCACTGGGTTTTCTTGCAATTCGTCTATAGAAATTGTAATTTATGATGAAAATGACATTTTTGAAATTACTATTATATAAACAAGGGTTATTGATCTCATATCTGAAATTCCCCTCAACACATGATATCAAAGATGAATGTACTATCAAATTCATAAAAAAATTGAATTAACCATAAATATAAAAATTTGACATCAGAAATTAACTGTCATTAACCACTCTTCAAAAAACCGTCTTTACATCAAATAACCGCCAGAGTTTTTTTTGTGGTAGTAGTGGGTGTTTGATGTCTACCATCGATCAAATATTAAATAATGTATAGATTTCAGTTAAATATGCCAATCATTTTTTTTTTGGAAAATAACGAACATATTTGGCTAAGCTTACCTTAAAAAAACTGAATAGAAACATAAGCACTGCTCAATGACACACGCATTTAGAATTTTTTTTTTACTTTTGTACTACGTGGTGGATGATAAGGTGGGGGGTAAATCATAAATAAAATATGTGTTTGATTTAAAGCTCAAATGAGCATTGTTTATGTATGTGTGCGCGCTTGTGACTTTGATTAAGAGCTTTGCTTAAAATATGTGTCGAATTCTCGAATTCATTCAAGCAACGGCAAATATGTTTTACGTCATTTAACGTTAATGTTTTTTTCTTATCATTAGAAGTTAGAATGGCCGACTGTCGATTGAATTTTGTGTGTGTGTGTAAAAATGCCGTTACTTATTACTGGCTCGTTGAATTGAACAAATATTATGTTTTAATATAGTATTTAATAAATTAGATATGAAGGGGAAGTATAGCCAAGCCTTATAAAATTAATAGAATTGTTGATAGAAATGAATGGAACTTTTTATTTCGATGAGATTCCGTCTAAGTAC